ATAGTACCAATACCCAGTACAATTCCTCACAATGTGTTATGGGAAGTCAGCAAGTTTCTGTGAACTGAATTAAACAGATGCTTACTGATATGCATACCTGTCTTTTCTGTCAATGGGAGTTAAGGCAAGCATTAAGGAGTTAGGGTTTCTATTGCTGTGAAGAGACAGTATGACCACAGCAACTCTTATCTTTATAAGAGCTGAAAGACATTTAATTGGGTGGCTTACCCTTTCAGAGGTTTAGTCCATTGTCATCATGGTGCAACATGGTGGTGTGTGGGCAGACATGGTGCTGAAGATGCTGAGAGTCTTACATCTTGACACACAGGCAAAAGGAAGTGGTTTGTGTGTCACACTGAGCAAAGATTGAGCATAGGAGACCTCAAAGCCTGACCCCACAGTGATGAACTTCCTCCAATAAGGCCATACCTACTCCAACAAGGCCACACCTCCTAATAGTGCCACTTCTTATGGGCTTATGGAGCCAATTATATTCAAACATTACAGCCGGGCTTGATCTGAAAATTTGAAAAGTGTCAGTTGACTCAGCTCAGTTAAGAAGGAAAACAAGATTAGCAAGAGATAGCATTTTAAAAGGACGAGAGAGGATAAATACAACTCACATACTTTTGCATTCACATGCTGGTTCACTTTGAAAATCTGCTAGAATTTCTCCTAGCCCCCTTCCCCCTAACTTTCAAAGGCCCATTGGAAGGGTATGGGTGTAGATGGGAAAGAGTGTCGTGGTGACACAAATGAATGAGGCCACGGAGTGATGGCGGCCATGCTAAGAGAAGAGCATTGCACAACGACACCGACCTAGGTCACTCGAGGCATGTCTGAGAGCTGAAGCAGTTGCCACCTGGTATCTTGGCATTCTAGAAGAACATGGAGAAAGTGCCCAGGGAAATCTGAGAGTGCAGATTATTGGCAACAACACTTTTCAGAGGTCAAGTACGTACAAATCTTGCTCATCAAAAATAACCTACCCCCAAACCAAAAACCAACCAACCAAACAACCAACCAAACAAACAAAAACCAAGAACTTAGCCTGTTATTATCATTTTTCACCTCAGAAAATGTGAATTCTAAAATATTCATCATTGCAAAATACTGCTTCAGGCACATGTTGAAGGGCCAGAGACTCGCTCACCCTAGCAGACTCATCTTCTTGGTGATACTGTTCTATTACATGGATTATCCACACTTTTATTTTCACATTTGTCTTTGATTCTACAATAAGAAGAGGGTCATGAATGAAATTTAAATCTGTAACTTTTACTGGTAATAAACTGTCTGCTAGAAAGGCTTAAAATAGTACAGTTTTTTTATTCTTCACTTTCTAGGTCACCAAGATGCTGTTCAACAACCACCTTTTATCAGTCCCAGATCCACACAGATAGGGGACAAGTGTGCAACATATCCTGTCCCAAGAAAATTACTCAAAGCTTTCCTTTCTAACCCTGGAGTTGCTACCTCATCATCTGCTACTCATGGAGGCGGTCTGTGATGCTCCATCATTCATTCATTCATTCGTTTGCACTAACTGCTGGGGGCTGGGGAGGAGCAACTGCACTCCAGGAATCTCCCTCTTAGTTTGGTAAAGACAAGTATGCTGGCCACTGCACTACGTCGGAACTGAGGAAAACATTATTAGGCTTTGGGAGAACAATGGAGGACATATAATTACTCTGGGATGCAGAGGGAACAGTGGAAAAGATGAGATCTAGGATACAAATTAGGAGAAATTAGACATTGGGGGGGGTGCAGGAACTGTTTCCAGTGTCCTGTGATCCAAGTCTACCAGGAATAAACTTTTCACAATTCACAGAAAGAAAAAAAAAAAACAAAACCATGTATCCATCTATTAGTTTAAAGTTCACTGTACCAGAACCAGCTCCAGACCTTTACAGTAGTGACCACTTGTACAAGTCTAGCAAAAGTAGCAGAGGGGTTTGTCATGAATCATTCTAAATCATCGACTCACCGACTTGACAAGTATCAGTGCTAATGGAAGTAGGATAATCATTTCCAGTGCAAAAGTGCCACAGAAAAGGACAAAGCGCAGGTGAATAAGTCCCCCGAAGACTACAAACACCTTTTCCTCGACTCTTGCTTCTTGGTCAGCTGTGAGTAGGTGGAAGCATGTCTTCAGAGAATCCAGCCTGCTGTGTACATGTGAGTGCCCAGTCCCTTCTGCTGTCCATCAATTAGCCCCGTGCGAATGTTCATTTTCAGCAGCTACTGTGATATGGAGGTTACATGAAGGGCCTGGAGTACCTGGCCTTAATCTCAAGTTTCAAAATGGAATTAAAGTACACATGCCAATTCTATGCTTAAACCCGAGATGAGGATTTAGGATTACCACATTTTAGAAGGTATACAAGAAGTGGCAACTTAGTGCTTGGATAAAGGCTCAGCTGATCCTATACAGGTGGATGAGAAACAAGTAACACCATGAATGGTGACTAATTCACAAGCGACTTGTACGTGTCAAGCCGGATTACAGTTTTAATTACCACTGAACCTGTTCTGCATGCAGTGGGTGGCATTATGTATAATTACACCTGTGTGCACCCATCCTCACGATGACTGTTCAGGACTCTGTTACCATTTGGAATGAGATTCTGTTCTAATGAAATACCACTCCACTTCTTGCTCCTCTCCAGTAGTTAGCTGCCCATTTTACTTTCTGTTTCTGTCAACCTGACAATTCTAGACAACTCACAAAATTCCATCCTATTTGAAGCTAGCTTATTTCACTGAAAATAAGGCCTCTTTGGTTCATCTGGGTTGTAGCCTTGACTGGACTCTCCTTTATTGATCCAGAGTAATTCTGTATTGTATGTATCTATAACATTTGCTTATCCAGCTACCTGGGGAACACTTGGATTGTATCTGCCCTTTGGATCAAAAAAATGTACTTTTATTTAAGCTATATGTCAAAGTTTTGTAACTTCAATACACATTTAATATAAAAATTTACTCTCTCTCTCTCTCTCTCCTCTCTCTCTCTCTCTCTCTCTCCCTCCCTCCCTCCCTCCCTCCCTCCCTCCCTCCCTCCCTCCCTCCCTCCCTCCCTCCCTCCCTCCCTCCCTCCCTCCCTCCCTCCCTCCCTCCCTCTCTCTCTCTCTCTCTCTCTCTCTCTCTCTCTCTCTCTCTCTCTCTCCTGGTTTTTTTGAGACAAGGTTTCTCTGTATTGCTTTGGAGCCTGTCCTGGAGCTTGCTCTGTAGACCATGTTGGCTTGAAACTCACAGAGATTCACCTTAGGTATTTCATATTTTTTGTTAATTTGTTGAAATTCACTAGACATTTCACAATTATAGCACAATTCAATTTGAACTAGATATAATAATTAATTGCATCCTGTAATCATAGACCAAAAGATAGTATAAAGAATACCATCAAGGCTTTCATGATGATTTGAATGGGACTAATGGATTAGAAATAAATCAAGTTAATTTACTGATTTTGATTGTTATGCTGTGATTACATAGGATTGTATACTTGTCTTCCAAAATAACCACACTGAAGTATATAAGTCAATTCAGGAAACAATGTACACATGCAATACCACAGGGAAGATGCAAATATAAAATGTGAAAAGGCAGAGAATTAGTGTATATTATATATGCTACTTTCTGTGTATTAATTGAAAATAAAGGGAATGGGGCTGGTGAGATGGCTCAGGGAGTAAAGGCATTGAATTTGATCCTTCAAACCTACATGGCAGCAGGAGAAATGGCTTTTTACAAGTTGTCCTCCGAGTTACACTTATACGTGTGCATACACCCACACACCACACACACACACACACACACACACACACACACTGACATCACACATGTACACACCATACACTCAACCCCCACCCCATGCAACTCCCCCAAAACAAAGAATATGGTTTCCTTAGAGGGATTCACATCCAATTTTGAATTTCCAGTGTAGTCAGTCTATCATCTATGGTTATCTTTTACTTTCTCATTTGAGTATTAGAAATAAGGCTCATTTAAAAGAATGCCATGAGCACTAAATAAGATCATGCACAAGCTCAATTTCAGGCAGCTGGCAGCCACCGAGGTAGAGGATCTGATATCTAGTTGGTGCTACAATGAATATTTGTCAAACAAATGAACAGGCCCTTCCATCTAACCCCCATGCGTATAAGTCATATCTCCTAGAGAAACTTAAATTGAGCCTTTTAATTTTAGAACTCTAAAATACAAAGTTCCAGTAACACCTGAATAATATATAACAATAAAAATCTTCTATACATTTGGGTGTAGCTGCAGAGTTTTCATAGCAATTTGCCCCCTGTCTTCTGTAACACTAAATGGAATGGGCAGGCATTCAAATTAAAGAGCAACACAGCGTTAATAATAGTGAGTGTCTGCACAAAGGGCCTTGGGTTATGGCTGTCGAATAAGGGTCATGGCTTTGTTACTCAAATCTCAAACAAAGGCTACATCAGTTCACAGCTGCAGGATACAAAATGAGGGGCAACTTAATGTCTATCTGGCACACTGCTGTTTATAGCTCACAGTGGATTTGAGGCTGCAACATGACAGGGAAGGGGACCTAGGCTATGCGCAGCAGTTTCTCCCCTCATTCAGGATGTGCACACAAATCTGAAACGACCCAGGAGGAGGTTTCAGAGACGATTGCCAGTGAGTGTTGTCGTCTAATCTGGAGAGCAGCTGCTGGGCACAGGCATGTAAATACGCAAACACCAACATTCAAACACGCTCAAGAGCCTATACCTGCCTTTACTTGTCTGTGTGGGCAGAGGGTTGCTGCCGTTAGGGTCGCCTAGTCTTGCAGTTCAGTTTGGCTAGACCCTTTCTTTCTTTCTTCAGTGGAGACTGGCAAAGCTGTGGGGTGAGCGTTTCAGCAAGGTCGGCTGTCTTCAGAGTATGAAGGGCATTGCCCAGCAAGGAAAGAGGGTTATATTTAGTGCTTGGGCCCAGTCTGCGCTGGGCTCTCTGCTGCATCCCCTTTGCAGAACTGTCACTGGTCCCTCGTTGCAAACTGTCAGTGACTTTGAAGCCCATAAAACAAAAACTGAGAGGGTGCCCAAAAAGAAAAGAAAACGTTGTTGGGTGTTGTGGTTCTGCTACTGGATCCTGACAGGGATCAGAAGAGAGATCTGCCAGGAGTGACCAAGCACAGGCACCTGCACGGTAAGCTAAGTGTCCTTGCCCTGGTTGAGAAGGGCGTTGGGATGTTTCTGCATTATCTGTGAGCTGGGAACCGTCAAATGCTCTCTACAAACACAATCCTGGGAAGTTACATAAGGGGAGGGAGGAAATCTCAGGTAGGACTCAGATTTTATGAAGGATGCCTTTAGGTTTAAAATAGGTAAAAGCCAATTGGAAAATAGCATTCCTATTCTGATAGTGAGTTTTGTTACACTGTAGGTGAGGAAAGAAAATTAAAAGTTGCCAAGTTATCATCTTCTTTGGAGTAAGATCGATTGTCAAGGGTAAAAAGAGAGGTTTGAGTGCATGACTTCTCTTGTTAGTAGTCAGATTTTGTAAATACAAATGACCGACATAGTTTCAGAATCACTGTGTGATGAAAATGGAGTAGCATACTGGAGTTGCCAGGTCAGGGAAGGAATTCCCCCTTCATGAGAGATGGCAGAAGAGATCAGCATCTCCAGAAGATGACTAGAATGTGTTCTTTTTACTGTATTCACACTTATTTACGTGATTTACTTATCATGGACATGTACTGCAGCTCATTACACGGAGCCTGATTGGATATCCACAGGTACAGCACACAGGTACAGCAGTGACTCCAGGTTGCTGCAGAGATGCTGTGGCAGCCCTGTCAGTGTGCTCACTGGGGGCATTCTGTACCAATGGCTAGCACATTTCGTATATTGACCAGAAGCTCATTTAACAGAGGCCTATGCTCACTTGAGATGCTTGAGTCAGGCATTTTCGTTTCACAGTGACGAATGATCACAACTTTAAAGAAAGTGTCAGCAAACATTAGAACAGGCACAATGCAATTATCGCCACACTACACTCACATTTTCCATGGTATATGAGAGCTGCGGAGTAGTGTGTACACTAATGATAGATATGCTCCCGTGGCTGCAGATAAAACAGCTTTCTTATGATAACACAGTCCTAGTTGTCGACCCACTGAAAACAAATATGCCAAGTAACTTGTTCTTTTTGTAATTATCAGTTGTCAGTTATGAAGCTTTCCTCATGCTTAACTTGAAAACTCAGCTTCAGCAACATGAGAGCTTTTTGTTACTGGCATTTTCCAGAAGCATCAATAATTTTAACATGTTATTTCCATTTTCTAAAAAAAAAGCAAATAATAAAACAAATATGTAGTATAATTAACACAGATCTCCTCTGAGGAGACTTTCCTGTGTAATTTCCCAAAATGATGTGAGGTTTGGGTTTTGATTATAGCCAATGCAAAACCACTCCAAAATGCTGAGGCAAAGAGAAGCACTGGTCAGAAAGAAAAAGACAGTGATTTATTCTCAGAGTTTAGCATCTACCAAAATTCATGTATAATTGTCTCTTTTCAAACTTTACTCAACTAGAATTTCAGTCAAGTACTAGCCTCAGGCAGAGGCACTGTAACTCAATCTATTTTATCGTGGCTCCAATGATGATGTATTTGGAGAGGCTGAGAGCGCAACTTGCCAAGAATCGGGCAGGTCCAAGGATGGGAAAATCCCCAAATAAATGAGCCGTTTATTCTTTCCTTCAGAACATAGTTCATATTATTCTTTATCTCAGTCTAAAACAAAATTTCATCACCAAGGAGATGTGCTTCATGTAGCATGATGCATTAAAATATTTCAAAATGTTTATTTTCTGTAGTCTAGAATTAGTGATTACAAGCATTAGTAACCATTCACACTGTACAAAGAATAATGCTGTTTCATTAATATCAGGGATAAGGCTATGAAGTAAAGAGCTTGTAACATCATTCATTCATTCATTCATTATTTGGAAAGGTTCTGTCCTAGGCCCCAAGTGGGTTATTAAAGGTGCAGTAGTCAATGAGGCAAACACTCTGAACATCTTTGTAGAAGGAACTCACTAGAGATTTAAATACTAGTGTACTGTGTATATTGTTTACCAGAACTAAGTATTTTTTGACCACATTTCTGATGAAAAGACCAGAAATGCTTACCTATTCTGAAAGGGTTATTCAGTATCTCTAAGATATGGAAACAATTGCAGAGACCACTGCAGCATCAAATACTCAAGCTGGAACACATATTTTTGCCCTAATACTTGAGGATCATGAAGAGATGTTGGACCACGCAGTAGATGCTAGACAAAAGGCTTACTTACTGATAATGTGTGCTTTTTCAGAACTGGGCCAGACAGTTTGCCCTTAAGGAACATTTCAGAGTTGAATTTGTACTATTACTTCTTGGACATCAGAGCTCCCTGGTGAACAGATGCCCACGGTGTTTATGCCTGTGTGACAGTCAGTCACTGTGCCCACCTGCAAGAGCAGCACTACTGTGCTGCCCACTTCTGGAATGTTTTTGTTTTGTTCATAGAGGTCATATGTGAACTGTTTGATCCTGTGAGTTAGGGGAGGCAGATATCATTCCCTGCTCAGCAGATCATAGAATTGGATCTGGATATTTAAGGGGCCTAGCCCTATCATTTTTTTTCAGTCTGATGGAGATCTTCAGAGTCATTTTTAAGTGAAAGCTTTGAAAAATCTGATTTTTCCCTACAGGAGTACACACACCTTGTTGGTACCTACTAGTTAAAGATGGTATTGGTAAATTGAAAACTATGCCAATGGGGAGTGATTCAACACCCACCTGTCACCCCATCAGCCTTTCCCGCCTCCATCTTCCTTAGACTATAAAGCTCTCCCTGGCTCTTGAAAAACCAGCTTCCTTCTAAAAAGGTTGCTGCTTTTTCAGTGTAGATGCTGGGTAACGAGGATGGTTAACTCTTACCTTACCTCAGCCAGGTGGTGGTGGCGCACGCCTTTAATCCCAGCACCCGGGAGGCAGATAGTAGTGAATTCCAGGCCAGGCTGTCTAAAAAGTGAGTTCCAGGACAGGACTGTTACACAGAGAAACCCTGTCTCAAAAAACCAACCAACTAACTAAGCAAGCACGCACGCACGCAAGCAACCAACCAAACAAACAAAACTCCTGGAACTCTCACTTTACTTCTTGTACTGTTGCATGGACTAAAAAGTATCCTGATAAGAATAAGACGTGTTATCACATCTTTCAGAATTGAAAACAAAACAAAAACCCTGACACTGATTGGGACAATGATAATAGAGCGTGTTAGTTTCAGTTACACGTAAAAGCAAATGGGATTTGAGCTGGTGTTTAGTACCACCAGTCTAGCAATATAAAACACCGACATAGTAGATCAGACTCCCCTGCTCTAGATCCTGCTTCTGGGGAAAGACAGATGGGTTCTTGTGGAAAAGTAATTTCTTGAGGGTAAGAAAGAACCCCACAAGAAACCAAAACCAAACCAATAAAACCCTGTATTCGAGAAAGTGCTTATGTACCAGACTGCACTGTGTGTAGCTGAACCAAGCAGTCTGTGAGTGAATGTGGGTCTTTCTGATGACGTTAGGTAGTAAGCTGACTGACTGGCTGATGTATTTCTTCTTGTCACAAAATACCCTGCAGAAGAACTCTACGGGAAGTATTGATTTTGGCTCACAGTTTAAGAAGATATTAGCTATTGTGGTGAGAAGGTATGGGGATGGAGGTGACATCATGTCAGGCAGCAGAGACATGACTACTCTGACTCAGCTTGGCTCCCTCCGTGGTGATTTTATGTTCAGGCTTGGGTTCAAGGCCAGAAGATGGTGTGCTGTTTACATTCAGGGTTGATTTGCTCACCATAGTGAAACCTCTCTGCCATAGAAGGAAATGCCTTCAGACACACTACCGCAGCTGCTAACTAACGCAGACGGGAACTGAGTGTGTGGCACCACTTACAGGCGGTACTGTCTATCAGCTATGACCAAGTACAATCTCAAGGTTTCACCTTCCGTGTTTCCTTTCTTCCATCTTTCTGTTTTATTCAAAGTTTGCTGTAACTTGGGGGGGTGTTTTGATGGATTTCTCTCCAGTTTGTGGGTTGGAATGGAGATTGTAGCTCATCAAGATGGGTCTAGGGGTGCATGACTACAAAACTGGAATCAGGAGATCATAGCAAAGTGGATGAAGTGAAGCTGCTTCTGTGCTTCTTTAAGCTGCTGCAGCTGGCCCAGAGTGGACAGAAACAGGGCAGCTGCGCGGGCAGCAGTGTGACACTGCCAGGTTGAGCCCAAGGACACCAGTGAGTGACACCAGCTGCTCCGCATAGCCACATGAAGCTATTTTAAGAAACTTTGCATTTGATCAGGGAGCATGTGGGGTTACGCCTTATGTTTTCCACTTTAGTTTTAGATCCTAAGCAGGTGCAGTTATAGTTCAATATTAAAAAAAAACCCAAAACGTATTATCCTGTTTTCTTACAACTAAGACATAAATAACTATATGTTTTGGGAGAGGCATGCAATAAAGATGGGACCTGTGGAGGCTTGGAGGGTCATGAGCTCTAAGTCACCCTGAGTAATGCAGGGAGACTATCTTAAATTAAACAAACAAAAGATCAAAACTGTTCTTTAAACCTAATTAACATTATTTAGGACTTGCTTTCAAGTATTGGTCATTTCTATCATAATTTTTGTTTGGGTGGGTTTAAGTTATAATATTATAGAACAGATAAGATTCTATGTTTTATATAAAATATATAAATAAAATACATAAAATTATAGTATACATAGAATTTTTGTAAAAATTATACGAAATTTGGCTTGAAGTAGTTTAATGGTAAGTATCTGTGCTAATGCCCAATTTCTCATGCTTGGCATATGACTGTTGAGGATGCCATAAGGACAAATGGGGCTGTGTGACAATATTGAACTGTGATTAATCACTTGAACCTTTACAGATGGAGACAGTTTATTCTCTGTGAATCACACAACTCCCTAAAGGTACAGAGTGGAAAGAAAAGAAGCAAGGGAAAACAAAACCTTTAAAAACATTTTTAAGCCCAGTATCTGCAAAATTTCTAAAATTCAGGTTTCCTGTCTGGTGCAAGTATCCCATACATGCATGCACGCAATTCTGAGTTGTCTATTCCATAGACATTTG